TTAGCCGATGATTGTTCACCGATAACAGTTAATACAGCTAATCGACCAGAAACACGTAATTTTTTTATTGTATTTTCTATTAAACGACTTTGACTATATAATGGTCTACCACGTAATATATGTATAGCAAAACCTTTATAAACTAATTGTGATATACGATCAGCTAAACGTTCAAACATATTTTTATATTTATCTAACATTGTTGGTTGTTCATCAAAATAATAATCATATAATTCAAATAATTCATCAACAAATAAACCAATTGTTAAATCAACATTATATAATTTTAAATCAAGTTTTTCTATATCATTTTTTAAATTTATTGCTTCATTTCGTAATTGATTTAAATATTTCAATGTTTCTTCATAATCAGACTTTTTACCAGTTTTATTTTGTGAATCAATTTTATCTTCTAAACGTTTTATATTTTTATCATGTTCATATACTAATTGTTTTTTCTTTTCTTTTTCTAATTTTAAATTAGGTACATATAATGAACGCCATTTTTCCAAATATATTTCTGTTATTAATAATTCTATGTATGTTTTATTATTAATTAAATTAATTATAAATTCTGTATATGATGTAAATGTTGTATATGTTTTACGTTTATTTTCTAATTCTTTTAATTCTAAACCTAATTTTGATCCTAATGTTGTTTCAATATCTTCACCTAATTTCTTTTTTATTGTATTTATTTGTGCACGTAAATAACTTAATGGTGTTACAATTGATAAATTTTCAGTTTTATCTGATAAATGTTCAAATAAATGTTCTAATTCATTTTCAATTTCATATTTTAAATTAAGTCTTGATTGTTGTTGATTTTCTTTTATTCTTAAATAAGTTGTTTGTATTGAAAAACATGAACGAAATAATGGTTGTTGTTCTATATATTGTTCAGCTTCTATAAATATATTACGAAATGTTGGTATTAAACGATTAGCACGACGTTTGATCTTAAATATATTTAAATTTTGATTTACTAATGATGAATTAAATATTGGTGCTGTTGTCCAATATATATGTGACCATTGTGTTTCATTTGCATAATAATTTTGAAATTGATTAATTAATTTACTTGCTGATGATTCATTATCATAATTTTTATCAAATATAACAATTATTGTTGGAATTTTACGTGTTTCTAATGAATAATTCATTATTAAATTTAGAAAATCATTATTATGTTTTAATGGTAAATCATCTTCTGTTATATAAATAATTTGACAAGATGCATATAATTGTATAGAACGTATTAAATCTGAATTATAATTATTATTTATTGTACCATGTACATCAAATATAACATATGATTTATTTTGTGAATTAGAAAATAGTATATCAATACATGAGGAACGAAATTTCATATTACCATCATTTGATAATGATTCTTTTCGTTTATCATTAAATATATATGGTAATAAACATGTTTTACCTAAATTAATACAATTTTTACTACCTAATTGTATAATTAATCTATCATCTGTCAAACATAAAATTTCTGTTAAACAGTTAAAATTAATTTTATATAATGGTACTTGACGCTTTTTATTCCATATATAATATGATAATGGTATTGGTAAATCATTTTTACGTATAAAATTACCTAAATAATTCAAATATATTATGATTGTATTCATATAAAAATTAGAATTTAATTACCTAAAAAATATTGACTTTCATTTGACATACATTCAATAGCTATTATTAATAGAATACGTTTTGTAATTGAATCAATAAATAATTCTAACTTTTTTGTATTATTTGATAAATCTAAACATGTTGGAAACACATCTTGAATATCACTTAATGCATGATAACGTTTAAGACTATCTATAATATACGGTGTTATTGTTTGTTGTCCATTAATAATTGAAACCATTTTTTTTGCATCTAATGGTTCAGAAACTATTATATTAAACGATGGATCAAGTAAGGATGCATTTTCTACATCAGGAACATGAACGACATCGAACCAAGTTGAAAGTATATTTTTTTCGTCCGAATCGAAAAGATTTTCCTGAATTGTCTGGAGATAAACGCTGTTCTTTGGTTCTAGAAGTTGTTTTAGATCAATGTATGGACTTGATTCATGATCAGTATGAACTGAAATGATAATGATGTAATTTTGTAGCTGATGATTTGATTAATAAAGAGATTTATATATAATACAAAGTATTTCATGGTTATCATTTATTACTACAGTCCATTTTTTACTATTAGGAATAACTTTTATTAGCTTGGTTAATTTTAGTCAACCATGCTTAAAGCAACGAGTCTTAGTTTTGGCGATAGATTAAACGCTGAGTATGCTCATGCAGTATTACAGTGTTGAAATAACTTTGCCTCTTTAAGGAGGGGGCGGGGAAGGGATAAAGTGTAAATTTTTTTCGGCCCTATCTTAAAACTTTAATAAAAACTTCATTTTTTGATATGAAGAGTTGATTCTAGCGTAATTCGATAGAGAACATTAAATTGTATACGGAGAAACCCTTTTCATCTTTCCCGAATGAAGTTTGCCGCAGAAATTTAGCGTTCGCCTTCCCGAGGAAACTTCAGAGCTAAAAGTATTTTTCACCTCATCTTACGGCTAGTTTCGCTCGAAGCAAGCATTTCAAAGCAAAACCTATACTAGGTGGAATAATCCATTTTTGACTATTTTCATCAAAAATTAAAAATTTATAACTCGGTCAAAAGCCATCCAAACTACTTCAGAATATCAACATATACTCTGTTTTATCCGCTTAGTTGAAATATTAGATTGAAAAATATAAGTGGAAAATATTAGAACTTTTCCGAGGAGGAAACAGCGAATTTTAAAGTTAGTCATTGGCAGTTTTTTTGGTTTGTGGAGCACTTTTGGGGTACCTTTGTAGTAAAGTTGATGACAATTAAATAATCACTGAGATTTTCAAAAAACTGACTTCGTGACGACCTCTAGATAAATGTCCTTTATTGTTTAAAACTAACCCGAATCATTTTGCTTGTAACGTAGATGCGAAATCCTGCACCGACGAAATGCTATCTTTTCGACTCCCAAGTTCTAATATCTTAGCGATAGACGAATGAATTAGGTTGAAACTTGGTATTTTTACGTTTGCCACTCATAACACACACAAACAATACGAGCAGATTAGTTTACTTACTAACGGTTTTTTAAGCTATGACTCATTTGTTATTGTATGAAAGTGCTAGATGGTGTCCTAATCCGCACTGGATGCACACTTACTTGGAAATTGAAATGAAAATGTTTCTAAATTTCCAGGATCTCTCTCAAATGTTAATATAACACGATCAATATCGCCATCAGACAGCATTGTTCTCCATCTACCTTCGAGATAATCATTTGAATGTATTGTATATGGTGGTACGTACAATGTATGTTTTGTTGGGATAATAAATGCTGTTAAATGTAATTCGGATTTATCCTCCTCAGAAAATTTACCCAATATAAACCGTCCACTTCTGGTAGGATGAGCATGTGGACAATCTAAATGTGCAAAGCCATGCCGTTCGAGGCCAGGACCATTTACACTTTCAACATAATCTGTTTTATAATTATCCGTATAAATAAAATCCCATGTACCATGGCGATGTAAAAGTGATACTTTTAACTGATTGTCATTTGCAAATGCACAGCCTAGAAAGTACGTGAACGATAATGTCGTTCAAACCATTTCCTGACTGACTACTTTGAGCCATCATTCTAAACTCGTTTGTAGTCACAGCAGAGTTAGAAAACGTAGGTTCATAACCCAGTTGCTCCTGCGTTGAGCTTCGCGCTGCCCTCTGGTGGTAATGGAGCCGCTAATTCAAGCATCAAATCGCTCTATCTTTCAATTATGGTCAAGAGAGCAAGATTAATATGTGTTAACTTTTGTCTGCAATGCGTAGGTGTGAGCTATAACTTCCGCTATCTAAAATCATCTGTGGTCTGTAACGGCATTATCCGTGATGAAAAATTTATATGGAGGGGTATTTATATTACAGGGAACACTGTGAAACACAGATCAAGCAGAATTCACATGCAACTAATTTGTGCTATGAGCGCCACTAGATCTGAATCGTTCTTTACATTCGATGAAAGTGGATTGGATATATAGAAATATAATGCAATTTTATTACCATAATATTTGAGATTTTGAGAGGTTGCAATGTCAGTTGGAATACTACGATTAAAGTTCGTAGGAAATATTAATAGGCCAGGTTTTTTATCTGGACTAGATAACCATCGAACCTAGATACAGACACAAAGAAAATAGTTTAGATTTCTTCGTTCATACTATATTACCTATTCACTTCTCTATAACTGAACTAATATTAGCACTTTGTTTTCTATTACGGCACATAAACAAACATACTGCTTACATTTGGTATTTTAACATGTAGTGGTTTAATCATTTGTGTTAAATTATCTTTCCAACAAGATAAATCAACAAGTGAATATTGGCCAGGTAAAATATCGTCAATATTATCACTACCAGTCATAACCACTTGTCCACTTTTACCATAACGTATATAGTTATTGAATGTAGACCATTTTTTATTCATAAACTGTGTTATACCACCTAAAGGACATTTACCTTCTTTATCTGCATTCAAAAGTGCAACAAATAAATCAAATTTTGCTTTAGCTGCTGCACTAATGGATTGTTGTTGTTCCAGTTGGAGCGATGCCGATATTATTTCAGCATCATCACCCTTAATTAAGGTTGAAAGATATTGAAAAAAACTTTGACATTCTAGTTTTCCTGTTTTCTTCTTATCCATATCATTAAACATTTGATGTATTTGATTTTCATCTAATGTGGTTAAATTTAAATGATGTTGGAGAAATGTTTTAAATTCATTTAAATTTAAATAACCATCCATATCTGCATCGTGAGATAAAAATATTTTTCTAATTTTTGGTTCTAAGGATTGTAGTTCTTCGTTCTTCATACTTTCAGGAATTATGGTGGATACGTTATCATTTTCGATTGTGAGTGTGTTCACACTTTTTCTAAAAGAAATAGACTTTTATGTCAACATCTGCAAAAGTTTCTCTATCTTTCTTTTTGTATTCTTTGAAATTTCGTTCTGAATTCATCTCTCTTATATTTCCTGCACTAATCAGCTGAATGATGGAATCAAGAGTGAAAACTAGTGTTTGAAAAATCAGTTAGCGCGTTTTCTGTTCTTATATCTTTACGTCTAGAGAGAGTGAGAGAGTT